CCAAGGCATTGTTGGTCCTCGAGTGCCACCCATGTTTATTAGGTACAAATTGAGGATAGATAACACACCTTCTGTAACACCTCGTTCTAGAACCGGTTTGTTAACATTGCATTATGATATTAAGCGCAGTTACAATCACATTGGTTCAATTAGAAATTCGGATAAATTTTCTTTTTGAACAAAGCCAAATTTAAAATACCCAATTGCGTGATCATAACCATATGTCGTTGCGGAATAAAATAAACTAAGCTTAACATCATATTCTTATTCTATTAGATCGCACGTTGTTGAGTGTCTTTATCTATTTTATTATTAAATGAATTTTTTACTTCCTCTATGGTTCTTATCTACTAGTATATTGTAGATCTCTTGGATAGCTACGCCTGGGTTCAAACCGCGCTCAAATCGGAGTACCGTAGCTCAAGTTATTCAGTTTTTACTAAATCATGTTTGTGTTGATTTCGGGCAGAGCGTTTTGGCGCCCGACTGAACGTTTAAACGCCCATAGGCAGAAAATTTGGCCTTCTCCAGGTCTTCAGAGCGTTTTGGCACTCAATTTGAGCGTTAAAACACCCACTTTAGTGTTTTAGCATCCACTTGTGCGTTAAAACGCCCAAGGGCAGAGACCTTTCCTCCATTTTGCGAACCCTTCGCGTTTTAGCGCCCTTCCCAGCGCTAAAACGCTCTCCAGCAGGGCCAAACATGCCCTCCTCTGTTTTTATATAACTACATGGGGAAAACTCCTTCCTCTTTCACAATTCCCCTAACACCTAATTGATCATATATCTATCCAACATATCATTTATCAAAGTTTAACATAAAAGCTATTCAATTGTACAAGAACTCATGAAATTATATAATTTCCCATAGTCTCAATGACATATCCATAAGGTACTCAAAATACATATCCATGATAACTCAATTACAACTCAAGTTTCACCATGCTTTTCCACAAATATATTCATCTTGACATAAGTGCATGCATAATCAAAATACTAGCTAGAGCCTCCATCAAATGATACAAGTATGCAAGCATGTCAAAATATTCAAAATGTAAGCGAAAGTATGCATCACTGCTCGGGCCTCCTGCCTTGAGGTTCCTCTCTTGTACTATCTATGGATCCTAAAAATAAATCCCACAAGGGGTGAGAGACAATCTCAGTAAACTCAATGGCTTTGGAGACCCCTCCAACCCTGAGCTCACTTACATGTTATACAGGCATCAAAATGGCATATAGCATACAACACATAACGATTCTACTGGCCAAAGAACCATCCAGTCAAGCATAAGCGCAAGACCAACCAATCCAGTCTAGCATAAGCGCAAGACCAACCAATCCAGTCAAGCATAAGTGCAAGACCAACCAATCCAGTCAAGCATAAGCACAAGACCATCCAATCCAGTCAAGCATAAGCACGAGACGAACTACTCCAGTTAAGCATAAGCGCAAGACCAACCCCAATACAAGAACATGCATATACACCCAATTTCACACCAATGTACACACATGCTATACAAGCCACAACTACCCACATGGGTGTGGCGGAACAACAAGGGACAAAGTCCCCAAAATCCAAGAGTTTACTTTTCAAGCTTTCCTTTAGCTTTTCTTGGCTCAATCCTCACGATATCAACAATCCATAATAATCCAACCTATACACAAGTTGGGTTTGCATCATCAATTATATACAATTCATGACTATTACTTCAAAATCAATAGCTATTCATTAATTTCCACACACTTAAGGCTTAGGAACTTACCACAATCCTTGAAGTTTTAAGAATGCCCAACCCCTTCCTTCCACAACAATGTTCCTACAAGGTAACTTCACAATCCAACCATCAATGACACTATATTAATGTGAAATTTCGAAATCCATACATTGGCCCCAAAAATCCCTAATTTTTATGAAACCCTAATCTCCATCATCATGAAAATTAATCAAAACCCCACAAAGAGTTCATGGCTTACCTCCAAACACTCAACCCAAATGGTATATGAAACCCAAGCTCCATGAATGGAGGATTCCTCCAATTTTCCAGCCCTAGGAAGTGGCGACCCAACAAGAGAGGAAGAAGATTCTTCTTGGTTGCTCTAATGGTGGTAATAAGATGAGTGAGGTAGGGATGGGTTATGGTTTCTTGTTTCTGAACATTAATCAAGAGGAAGAGATTATGCAAGCTTTATTTCCTCCCTCCATTCATGAAAACGTCAAGGAGCTTGAAAGAAAAGGGGAATGAGAGGCGTGAGGGAGGTAGAGAATAAAGAGGGAGTGATTTGGTATATTTTTAAAATATCTAAAGTGTGATTTTACTCCTTTGCCCTCTGGTTCATTATTTATTTACACAATCAAATCTCAACAATCAAGTTAGGCCTTGTTTTTGATTTAGTTAGTCTTTTAGGCCCATGACATATTTATTTAGTTTATTTTGGGCCTTACTCACTTTGCACCAATGAGCATTAACTCCTCACTCTTATTAATTACACTTTTACATGCAAGTAATTAAGTTTATAATTAGGCTTTCTACCGAATCTAACCTTCTAATTATGCATTAATCCCCCTATTAGTGTAATTTAATTATGAGGGGTATTATACCTTCATAGGTGGGATTTATTGGAAAAACAAAGGAAACTCTGGCGAAATTTCTAGGAATTGGCAGAATTTGGGTGAACTTTGGGAGAGCATATCTCCCTCCACAAAGGCCCAATAGGGATGTTCCATACACCGATTTAAAGCATGAGGTGTCAACTACCTTGTGTCAAAATTTGAGATCAATAGGAGGTGTGCGCTGCCCTGTAGAAGCCAGAGAGCATGGACTGCTCTGGACGCCCCTGTGCAGGGGCTGTTTCTGGCATATTTTGGGAATTTTATTCCCGCTTCGTTTCTTGGTCAAATTAGGTATATGTCAAATTGAAGCTTGAGGTGTCTAGTTTACTGTATAAAAAGTTTAGAGCAATTGGTTTAGTGGATTTTCCAGAATCGTTGAGAGAGTGAAGGCTATTTGAAGCCCTGTTTGAGGTTGGCTGACAGATTTGCTTGTCCAACTTCAAACGATGATATCCGGAGCAAACGAGAACTTTATGACTCGTGTGATAGCTTGTTAGAAAGGTAATTAAGTCTAGAATAACATACTAAAATATGAACGGTTCACGGCATGCGGTTTACCCGCAGTAATTAAATTACCGAACCGTGTTCGGATAGGTAGAAAACATAAAAGTGAGATTTAGGCTAAGTAGGTTTATAGAAACCCCTTATCAGTGACTTGAGAGAATTGTTATATGATTATTAGGCAGTTTAAATAATTATTCCGCAAAGAGTTTTCAGTTACGGTCACAACTTTTATTTATTACGCTTTTTATTGTTTTAAATGCTCGCGTAATAAAAAGGAAAAAAGTTTGCTCGCATCTTTATAAATGAATTGCTGTGATTGCAACTGCGCTTAATATCATAATCAATGTTAACAATACCGGTGTACAACGAGCTGTTACATTACTGCAAATAACTTATCTGCAGTGACTGCAGAAAATTCGAACCCATATATATATATATATATATCAGAAAAATATTTTTGCAGTTATTGCAGATAAGTTATCTGCATTTACTCCCAAAACGATGTCGTTTTGGTGTTGAAATATTTAAAAAGACTATTATAACCCTACAATAAATTAAAATTATAAAAACAACTTGATTTTCGCCCCAAAACGACGTTATTTTGGGCTCAATGCAGATAACTTATCTGCATTAACAACAGAAAAAATGAACCCATTATATATAAGTTCAGTTTTTCTGCAGTTATTGCAGATAAGTTAGCTGCAGTAAGCCCAATACGACGTCGTTTTGGGACTAAAATCATGGTATTTTTGTAATTTGAATTTATTTCAAGGTTATTATAGTCTTTATAATTATAATTTTTTAATCATTCAATCCCAAAACGACATTGGTTTGGAAGTAAATGCAAATAACTTATCTGCATTAACTGCAGAAATATTTTTCTCTATAATAAATGCAAACACCTTTGGGAGGGGTTTAAAACCTTAATCCTGGACCCGCCCCGAATCGGATTAGTTGCGAAGCAATGAACTGATTGAAATATTTCCAAAAAAAAAGAGAGAGAATACAAATCACTCAAATACAACCGAACAGAATGGAGATTTACCGATCCAAATCTTTGAGTGTTGTGTTTTTCTTTCATAACCCGAATTATATAAGCACCTACCGGCTAATCAGAAGTAGGGGCGGTGGAGCGTCAGAACGATTAGGGCTCCACTCCTCAATGACTATCTCTTGCTAGCAATAAGTTCCAGTGCTGTGCTGTGTGTTACTTTTCTTTAAGGGTAATTTTGGTATTTTTTAAAAAGACTAACTCTGTTAACTTTAACTTTGGATGGAAAATCAAGTTACGGAAATAAATGATAAAAAAGTTTTAAATATGGGTGTAAATGATTAAAAAATTTGGAGATGGGGTAAGTGATTCTGAAAAAACTTACGGGTTTTTTTTTTAAGTTTTCCCAAAAAAGAAGAAGCATAACATAGATCAAACACAACCCACTTTTCTCCAACATGATGAGTTAATGAGTTTTGAATTTAGAATTTTGCTATATGATTTTTGGGCTATAATTAGGAAAAGACCCAAGTAGGGTAGATGGTATGGTTAAGGAATTATTGGATCGGTTTAGATTGGATCAGTTTTCACCAACCCATCCAAAAATCGATTCAATCCAATTAAATTTTGCGGTTTTTTTTTTCGATTTTTTGGTTAATTCGGTTTTTGTTTTTCGGTTCGATCACTGCGGTTTGCCAGTTTGAATCGATTTGGATCGGTTGATGAATATCTTATTTTCCTATTGTAAACCCTCAATTTTATTTGAACATTTAAAAACTAAAGAAATAAGATAAAAAAAAAATAAAAATCAATGAGCAAAGAAACATAATTAAATCTGAATTAATTTTGTCCATATCAGACTCATTTCAACCTTCCCATCCAATTTTCAGGAAAAGGAAAGAGGAAAAAAAAGAAAAATTAGAGAGTCGTGGTTTTGAAAAGAAGAGACCCAGGTTGAGAAACGGGGAAGGAAGCTCTCATAGACGTTTATCGTACAGAAAGCATTATCAGAGTAACTCGTAAACCCATTTTGGTATTTTTCTTCTTCTTTTATTTCGAATTATTTGAAAGTTTGTGACTGTTGTGTGTACTATTTGTTTGGATTTTAAATGCCTATTTTGTGCTTGATAAAATGCTAACTCAATTCGATTAGTGATTCTGTGTATCATGTATTGTATTACGTGTGCATGACATTAATGTTTAGTCCCCATTATTATATTTTTGAAATTTCGCTATGATTTGGTTTCCTCTGTCTTGTTTCTTTGACATTTTAGCATGTATATACACATCTCTTGATACCTTGCACACAGAACCTTTAATTTGTTTTATGACTTATGTCTATGTGTAAATATTTCAGAGTTCAGAATTGTATTTCATGTTTATCATACAAGGGCTATGAATTTCTTGAAGATTGATAATATATTTGTATGTATTTTAATTTTAATGACAATTATGAACTAATTAGAAACTATATGATGAAGTCTTTGTTGAAAGACGGGTTGATAATCCACCATGTATCATTTGGTTGAATCTATGCTTTCTGTTTTAGGATATATCAATAAGATTTTTTTTTTACCTTCATCAAGGTATATATTATATGCATGAATCAATGGGTTGATAATCCACCATGTATCATTTGGTTGAATCCGAGGCTCGTTGCTGCCTTACAACTGGTCATTTAAGCATTGAAAATGGAAGCAATGGTGAAAAAATTTCAATCAAAATTCAGAAAAGTTAGGGAAGAAATGAATAAATGGGAGGAGCTTCAATCTCGGTTACTTTCACAGTTTAGGAATGCTTCCCATATTGTTGATAGGTTGCAGGTAATTTAACTTCTTCTTTTACTGTCTACATATAAATTTTCAATCTATTTACTGCTTTGACATTGATATTTGCAATGTTGTTGTTCTAAAATTACTTGAGGGCTTGAAGTAACAGGTATGGTTGTATGCAGGTGCTTCAAAATTCCAACAATTATGGTATTCTAAATTGTGTCAGCGGAATGAAAGATGCTCTTTTGGCAAAGCAGATTGAATCATTGGAGAACATTTTGGTTTCCATGAGAAGGACTCTGTAAGTTTCTATTTAGGTCTCCAATCTTTCAACTTGGGAATGGTAGAAAAATTATGTACACAAGTTATAAGTCACATATAATTTTATATACACAAATTATAAAGGTCAGATCAATGAAAAAGAGTAGATGTTTTTCATGATGTTGACTAAATGGTAATATTTAACATTGACTTGTTTAAATTTTCTTTTAGTTTATGACTTATTGAGGTTTTGTCCTTCTTCAGGTGTTCTTAATGAAAATCAGAAATGAAATGTTTCTTTGTTCATCTTTTATAATCAAGCTTATGAACCTTGATGATGATGATTTGTTTGTTTTAGTGATTTATGTATTTAAATTTTAAATTGAACTTTCAGGGAAGAATTTCATTGTATTGTCTTATCTCTTGAGAAAATTCATCGTGATGGTAGACAACTAGTGAAAGGCAGTTCTTCTCAACCGACCATGAAACAATTACAGCAGCGAGTTGGCATCAAACCTAGACTTATTGATTGCTTGGATGGCCTGTTGTTTCTACATGAGATGCACAATGCAGAGTGAGTGATAAGCCTTTGGAGTTTTTCTTAATTTCTTTTATTTTGTGCTTTTAGACCGTCAAGCAATGCAGTAATATGAACTTAATTTTTAATACATCAAATGATATGATACAAGAACTTGAATGAATGACAGAGAGTTTATTGAACTTGGTAACAATTGAATTACGTTTTCTCTAAATATTGTATGGTGCTTAGATACTTCGTCTTTTTAACACTGCATTAGCTCCACTTTAACTCCCTTTCAAGAGCAAACCAATATATAGATTTGTAATAGGCATATAGCATCTTAAGGTTTTGTTTTATCAAAAGAAGATAAAGAAAAAGGGGAAAAAAACTCTAGGCTTCTATGCTCTAAATTAAAATCAGTGTCATTGCTGGCGAAGAGGTTTTTGAAAATTTAAAAATGCAATTGTTCTTTCATTATTATTTTTTTTTTTGGTAGGAAAGATCAACCTTTTTTATCATCAGTCTCTATTATTTGTTGTGTGGAACTGCTGCTAAACTCTTAAAATGATTATTGATATTGGAATGTAACTTTCTGCTTTAAAATCTTTATGCAGAAGTGCCTTTTTCATTGATTTTACTTTGAGATAAAGCCATTTTGATCAACTTAATAGTTTCCTTTTTATTAAAAAAAAAAGTTACTAGTTTTTTCTTTTGAAACAGGTATTTGTTAAAATCATCAGTGGTCTCAGCACTATCAGCAATGGCCTTAAAACCCAGGTATGATGATACCAATGCTATACTCGAACAATTAAAACATCGTAATTGTGTATATTTTCACTTCCCCTTTACGCAATTTTCTGTTTAAGGTAGACTTTGGTCTTTATAATTTTCACTAATTTGGGTTTTGGTCCTTATAATTTTTTTTCTCTGTATAGGACCCTATAGGTTCATACCATTAAGGTTTTAGTCCCTAACGGATCAATACCTTAATAAGTTGATGTATAGGTACCAATTCTTTATGGAAAATAGGGACCATTTACTTTTGATGAATACAAACTATAGGGATTAATTTAAAACCCAAAAAAGTGAAAAATATAGGGACAGATACTCAATGGGATTGGGACCTAAGACTAAATAAATGAAAATAGAGGGACTACAAAAAAATTTTATAGGGATAAAAACCCAAATTAGTGGAAACTATAGGGATTGAAATATACTCTAAATCTCTTTTTATTTATTGAAAAAGAAATTTATTAGAGGGGAAGCACAATCAGGAGAAGGACAAGAGATCCTCCAACACATGAAAGTTTAAATACAAATGGAGAACATGAAAAACTAAGAATGTAACATTGCTGCCCTATCTTTTGCATATCCAAGTTAGCTTACTCTCTTAAAGCAGTTAAGCCGCTACGACCACAACACCAAAGAGTAGCCAAAAACTTAATTCTATCCCTTCTCAAGTTTGGGGGCCTAGAAAGGAGAAAAGCGGTTAAAGATATAAGCATTACTCTCTAACCACACTCGCCAAAGGATTGTGAAACTTGCAAGCTGCCTATTTGTTTCTGCCAAGATTTTCATAGCCAACCATAAAAGCTGCTCTAGGGTAAAGGGACATCCCTAGTGCTCCCCAAAATCAAAAACCATTTTGTAGCCACCTTACAGTACAAAATTAAGTGGCCTACTACCTTTGATCTAGATCTGCACATAATGCACTTATTTGGAAAAAGAGAAGTTTGAGTCCTACGAATTTGCAACAAATAATTTGTATGATGAGATCTTGTGAAACCAGGATCCCATGAATAAAAAACAAGTTTGGATGAGGGTAACCTGACCACCCAAGAGTAAAAATTATCCTTCCAACTGTTTAGGTGTTTAGAGATCTTGTGAAACATAAGATACCAAGAAGATGCTTGATGATAACAACCTAGAAAAACTCCCAAGTAAATACAGGCTGCTGAACCTTGAGAACCAGCCACAAGAGCATGTAAAGAAAGAATTTTGTCCTCCACATTCAAACCTGCTGGTTCTCTCGTAATCAAATTTACCTTTAAATAGAATAAGCCTCCATAAACTTTATAGTCAGAAGTAGTACATTTACAAAGGCATCGTTATCCTCCTTCAAAAAGAGAGCTGAATCATTGGCAAACTGAAGATGTGAAACCTTAATTTCCTCTTAACCAACTTTAATACCTTTATTGAGCTCCCTACTGCAGTTATTGAAAATAAATAATGTTCCCCTTGCCTACTTCATTTTCTAATTTCCTTTTTATCATGGTATACTTTTGTTATCCATAACCACAGAAAAATTAGTAGGAAATCGACATTCTTCATCTAGCATCAAAACCCTCTCTCTCAATAACCTTATCTAGGAAACCCAACGCTGATGATCATAAACTTTCTCATAGTCCAACTCAAAAACCAAGCCACATTTCTTCTATTTTTGACATCTTCTGCTCCCTGATTTTCTATTAGAGCAGCATCTGAACTGTCTACCTGCAATAAAAGCACTCTGGTTTTCTGGTCTTTAGAAGGATCTGATTCAAAATAAGCACTGAAAAGGAGGGAGAAAAAAGTAAAACCAAGATGCAAACTGGTTATCTGTGTACTCAGTGGCACTTGCATCCCTTTCTATATGTACAGAAATAGCAAGATCTATCATGTACTTTATTCACAATGCTTACTTATGCCTATGTTTCTAATTTTTTTCAAGTTTATGCTGGTGGTGTCCATCATCTTATTCTGTCCTGTATGGGTTTTGTATTCACTTTGTATTAATCACATTGCAGTGCCAGCGATCTTGGTGCACTTCAGCAACTCTTGGTTGATCAACCCAATCTCCCTACTGAGGAAGGTATGCAAGAATTATTGTGGGGTAGAAGTGATGTCTTGATGGTTAGCAATAAAAAAAATGTATGCATGCATGCACATCCACACCATTGCTTCAATGCATTCAGTATCAGATATTCAGAAAGTAATCATCTTATTAGAGACCCAACTAATAGAAATACTCTCATGTAATGCTTATGATAATCATAAGGAATGCTTCACTTTGACCTCTGTATGGATCTGGCACCTCCAGTAGTGAAGTTCAGATTTACTGTTTTTGTCAAAGAATATAATCTTCTATTAAACATTGTCTTTATTTGAGAGATCTGGATGCTTTCTATAGATATTATAAGATATCAAATTTGATTCGACTGTATTGAATTATATTGGAGTTCGTAAAATTTCCAAGATATTTTCACTCGGTGAACCATAATTTGAACTGCAAGTATAATTGTCATCTAGAACAAAGTTATTGATGAATTGAAATCTTGAAAAGCACTTTTGTTTCTTTTAAACAATCTATAGGCTAAAAGCCTACAAGTCTGGTGCCGCCCCCCTATAAAAGTGGAAGAAACGGATTATTTGTAAAGATGTCTCTGGGTTTTGGTGTGTTAATTAAAGCATACAATTATTAGGGCGGGGGGTGAGAGGGGGAAAGGGGAGGCTGCACATAAAATGTACGGATACTCTTGGAAATTAAATATTTTTAAGATATGTTGTCTTTTATATTCTTTAATCTAGATGTGTGGCAACACATGATTTGATGATAGTTTAAAAAAGTTTTTCCACCGACTATGGCTCTAAATTAAACTTGTATACTAATGTCGTTTATCCCTGTCTGACTTTTGGCTGCAGTTCAATTTATATTTGATATAATATTTGCTGAAGAGCTGTGATGATGATCCTCTATTATGGATATTGACTTTGTACCTGGGAATGCTTGAGCTTTTGTGCATCAAGGGAGTCTTTTGATCTTACAGGCATGACCTGTCGATGCGGCATGATTGTTGATGCAGAACGGATTAAGATAATTGATGTCACTTTTACTTGCAAGTTATGAATTTTATGGTAATTATGTAATTTAGGGATTTTATTTTATTTTAGGATTTTTTTCTTTATTAAATTATATAGTTTTAGAAATATATTATTATATTATGATTTCCTGTTTGATTTTATTTGAGTAGGATTTTATGTTCTAGCAAACTAATATTTAATTAGGATTTTGTATTTGATTTGGGTTTGAGTTTAGGTACTTTCTATTATTCAAATTTCAAACTTTAATATTGATAATAAGATTATTGTGTTTTGCTTTGCGAGGATTCAATGTTTTGGAATTCTTTGGGCACGGGAGGATTTGATTCTTATGGGAAGGAGTTGCTAGGCTTCTAATTTCATATAAAGAAAGGAGCACTCTGTTCTCAATTGGCTTTCAGTTTCCAACTATTTTTATTGGAGACCAGTTTATGTGTGTTTTTCAAATTTTTGAATGTGTCCTTTAGCTCATATTGTTTATATATTATTTTTCTTTTTGGTTTGGTTTGGTTTGATTGATTCTTAATTTGTTAGGTTACTAGATTTTGCTTTTTGCTGGGATGATATTCACAGGTATTGAATGATGCATTTTTTGCAAATCTCGTGTATGTGCAGGTGTTGAATATGCCAATATTTTCCCTCTTTGGAGAAATGAAAAATTGCCCGACTTCCAATTTTTTTTTTTTTTTTTTTTTTTTTTTGTATCAAGCAAACTTTAAGCTATTAGGGCCGTTTGATACACATAATAGCTTGATAATATATGATTTGATTATATAAAGTTTGATAAAACTTTAATATTTATCAATATTTGATGTAACATCTTGAAAGACATTATATTGTATAATATAATATTATTTTATGTTTGATGATATATTGTATAACACTAAGTAGGAAAAAAATTCAATTTTTATAAAATATTCCTTTTTTATACAATATAAAAATATTGTAATTATTTAATTTGTTATAAAAATATTCTTTACTCAATAATATATTGTAATTATTTAATTTGTTATGCTATATTAATTTTTAGAGAAACAAAATTCTACAGGGGCAAAATATATTCACAATTTAAAATTCAATAAATAAAAAATATCAAGTTACATAGATTAATAATTTTTTTGTAAGAATATAAATTTAATAGTTAATGATAGATTCGGAGGATTGTTGCAAGAGTTTTAATTCTCACAATTATCGAAACCCAAATTTAATATATATGCGCGTGTAATATTTTTTGTAATACACATCACACCACGTGTACTAATATATAATAATTACATATGAAGTTTAAGTTATTTTAATGATGTACTTATAATTTGTTATATTTGCATATGTAATTTATGCCAATTTAACAATTGATTTCTCAATCAATAGTTACAAATTCGCATTTTCCCCCCTCTGAAGTGTGCTTATTTTAGAAAATATAAACGGTAAAGTTTTGGTGTTTGTTCTTTTTAAAGGATAAGAAAGGTTATTTTTATAATCTATTTTGCTTTAGAACTTCTTACAATTATATTTTAACCATTGATTTCCGTCAATCAATACTTATTATTTTTACAAATTAAATTTATTCATTAATTATTAATTCACAATAAATAATAACTGTTGATTGGCGGAAATTAACGGTTAAGATATAATTGTAAGAGATTGTAAACAAAAATAAGTTGTAAGTATATTCTTTCTCTTAAAGGATATAGAATTATATCCTTCTAAGTGAGAGAAAAAAATACACAATAAAAATTATAGAACGAGAAAATGAGTGATTTTTTTAATTTAAATTTTAAATAAAAAACACTAATTTTAATTAAAATAACCATCCTTTTTTTTTTTTGGAAATAAAAAATAACCATCCTTTAATTAAAAGGGTTTGGTGTTTGTCATTTTAAATGACATAAGTTATGTCATTTTAAGAAAGAGATAAATACAGAAAAACGGAAATCATGGAAGATAGAAAATGGATGGTTTTTTTAATTTAAAATTCAAATTTTCTGTGTCTGTATCTCTTTTAAAATTACATAACTTTCTGTCATTTAAAATGACAAACACTTTTTCCTAATTAAAAAGTACAAAAAAAATTTCTCGTACTGTAAATTATACCACGATCATTGTGCACTCACGTTTATACCTTGATCACTTTCAATCACTATGGTTGGAGCAAACAGTTTAAGCATCCAATGGAACATCACCAATAGATAGAAACGAGATTAGATAAAATCAATGTTATTAAAACACGCTCGGTCAATGACCCGGTTGAGGTACCAGGTCACTAGGTCACTGGTTTAACGAGTGGGTCATTGGTTCAACCGCATGACCCGGTGATTATATATAAATCTACAATTTATATTAAAAAATTATAAATATACTCAAATAGTAAAAAAAAATAATATAAATTCTAAATATTTTAATATAAAGATTAATAAATTATACATTATTGCCTAATGAAGAATCAAACAAACACATAATGCTTGTTATATTGGTGTTTTAGCTTCGGTAAACGACATCTCTAACTATCAAATCAAAATTCCATGCATAGTGCATAACTGAGATAATATTAGTATTGTAGGTACATAACTTATGTAACTCAATAAGTAACAGATCACTCAAATATGTTAATTATGATTTTTTTTGGAAAACTTTTTTTTTTGAAAATATTTTTTTTTAAAACCCGGGTCGGGTCACCAGTTTTTCACCAAAATCGGCCGGGTTTGTACCGAGTCTGATACTTGACCGATCCAATGTGATAACCGGATCGGTCAGATGACCGGTTCACCGGGTTCTGGGTCAACCTGGTCGGTCCGGTCCGATTTTCACAACATTGGATAAAATCCCTAATTATAAGGTTTAGAATATTGAAAAAAAAAAACTTAATAAATCTAACATCTAACTTACTAGTAGCCAAACTACTAAATCTCTAAATACATACTAAAGCTCCAAAATACACTCACCAACATTTTTGGATTTGATACAAAAGAAATAAGTTCAAAGAGTAGAAACTCACCTTAAGCATCTATTACAAGTGGGTAAGGTCGGAAAGTAGTTATAATTACACCAAAATAAAATAAAATAAATTGTTTAGAACGTGTTTGGATGGATTTTTTCTCTTCACGAAGCTGTTTTTCATTTTTTAAAAATAACGTGCTTCTCACTTTAATTAAGTGTTTGTATGTCAGCTTTTTTCTAAAAAAAAAAAAACCAAATATTACTTTTTTAAGCTTAAATTTATGACTTCTAAAAAAAAAAGTAAAGAGCCATTTTTTTTCTTTTTAAAAATTCAAATTTGTCTCAACCCCATCCAATCCTATTATCACTACAATTTTTGCCGCCACCATTGTTGCCACAATCGACATCGGCATTACCTCCACCATCACGACTAGAAAGCATGTTTTGATGATAAGAAATAGGCAATAATAAAATTATTAAAAAAAGAGGCAATAATAAAAAATAAATAACTTTGATCAAGAGCAAAAAATATTAAGCATACATGAAGATTGAAGATGCTTGATGGAGCCACATAATAAGAATAATAACATATCAAAATGACAATAAGATGGATAAGCTTTTGAGATTCCGAGTCCGGCAAATTAATTAAGTGCAACAAGGAAAAAAGTAGAGTAAAACCAAGATTAAAAAACAACAAATCATGAACTATCTTCAAGAGGAGCTTAATGTAACAAGTCATGGTAAAAGAGGCTTAAGTTCAATAAAGAGCTAAATATTGTCAAATCCAACAAGTCAAGCATTAACTTCAAGTGAAAGTTCAAGGTCCAATAATCAATTCATGAACATAAGTCCAAAGCCTAATTAAATTATATTTTTGGGACTTAGATTTAAATGCAAGGGTTTATGTTAAATTGTATTGCATGAGCTCAAAGTATTTTTCAAAGTTCCATATTGCATAAAAGCTTTGAAAAAAAAATCTCAAACATAATTGGAAAATGTTTCAACACATTTTAATATCATAAATCATACTCCTAGAGTCAATTACATGTTTTCATTATGTTAGGAACTTGTTTTAAGTGAAAGGAATGCATTTCTGAATTCTAAGCTTTCTTGAAGATGAGGAAAAATCAAGGATTTATCAGAATAAATCCAGGATTTACCTGGATAAATTGAATATCTATTAGGATATTTGTCATGATTTATCTGTATAAATGAATGATTTATCCTGACAAATTCTAACAGTATGTGTTTAACAGCTATAAACCACTAGTTTTAAATGTCGAATGACTCTAAAAATGTGTGTAACAATATTTGTATTACCATTTACATATCTTGAGATAATTTCCAAAAAATAATTCATATTTAAGCTCATTTGTTGAAAAATCATACAGACTATAATGACCCTTGTTCTGTCCTTAGGACAGAGATGTCCAGCCCAATAGGCTGGTATGTTACTATTGGATCTAGTGCCCTCTCCAAGGTATCTATGAAGGAGATACCCTTGAGTCAAGCAGATCACTGTGCACAGAATACTATAACGGCGTTAGCCAATGAGGTGTGTGTGTGCGCACTGTGACAGCATAACAGTAAGAGAGAGAGCGTAACGTACCTTTAGAGTTTACCTTGTATTTATAGAGGTTACCCGTGGGTAGTGTGGATGGGCCTTTGGTGCCTCTGATAGGGGCACAGGCCTGCTTGCTATGCTTTCGTATTAGGATTAGTATCCTTGATGGATATCTATCCGTGATTATCACTGATTCAGATCTTGGATTGCCCCTTATTGGGCCTATCACTTAATGGGCCCCTTATACGGGCCCATAACAGTTGCCCCTTAGCCAGGCTACCTGGGTATCCAGGTTGCCGGGGTGAATTTGCTTGTGCGTCTCTTCAGATTTTTTGTTAGGCTGAATATGTTTGAGTTTTTGCAAACTTTTTTACATGCTCCTCATATTCTGGAGTTTTTTCCATCGAGGTGTCTCTTGCCCCTTATGTCGACGGGTTGAGCATCAACCCAGTGAGATATTTTTCGTATTTCTCTTTTTGGATTAGAGGTGGGCTTGAGCAGTTGGGGTCCAACTGACGAGTTTCCCCTCAAGTGTCAGCTTTTATGCCTATTCCGAGTTTGTAGCTCTTCTCAAGGACAATTTTTCTTCGTTCGGCAGGTTGAGCATCAACCCGGGAAAACGTATCATGTATCTTTATGCCGAGTTTGGGATGTGCATGAGTAGTTGGAATCCAACTGGCGAGTTGCCCCCAAGCATCATATCTTATACGCATGTCTTGCTTTTTCCTTCTGGTTATGCGTACGACGGGTTTGTGCATGAACCCGACGATATACTTTTACATAGGCAACCGGGTAACGGATGTGCTTGAACAATTGGGATCCAACTGGCGAGTTTCCCCCAAGCATCAGGCGTTTAACTCGGTTGAGAGTTGTATATGTACGTATTGTGTCTTATTTGTTGGTTTATAAGTGGTACTCATTCCCTTCTACCACGTGTTACTGCCTGCGTGCTTTAGCGTGCCGCAGCCATTTTATGCCATTTTCGCGTTTCGTGCGCAT